CAGGAAACAGGGAAGGCTTCCACCAAATTATCTCCCCTACCTTCACTTACACCAACATGCCAGAGGTTTTGAGGGACTAATACAGGGAGCAGAGAAAAAATAAATTCTATTCCCTAAATCAGGAAGGACTAAAATGTCAATAACAGAATTGCCATGAATATATAATCTTCCAAAGTGAGACTAAATCTGGCGTCAGTTGGCTAAATCTTAGCAAGGTTGGCTGGCAGTTGAGGCCATATTTCCAAGAAGCTGCTTAGACTACCCTGTGGCATGTGCTTAGGTGAGTGAATCCATTCTATCACGACTCTTTCTACAGCAACTTGAAAAACCAGGTTTTGGATCTTGGCCTTGAGAGTGCACATGGCCTTGAGCAGTACATTGCCATGAATGCTTAGGGCAGGGGAGCTGCTGTTAAACCAATACTTGGAAAGAGGTGGGAAGGCCACAAAGAACAGCTCAGCCAGTTGCCTTGGGGAACCTGCCACATTTGGTTGTGCTCTGACGTCCCCAAAAAGCATCAGTGCCAAACACAAACAGTGCAGATACTCATGGTCATACCCACTTCTCTCCACCCAGGTGAACCACAGGGCTCTCAAGCTGCCTGAAAACCACTAAAAGCTCTTTCATGTTGAGGTGTAAAGTCACCAGTAATTCACCCTCTGCAGTAACTGAAGAGAAACAAATAAACTGAGATTTAGTGGTGAAGCATTACCAGTGTAGACACTGGCTTATGCTAGGAGCATCCCAGTGCAGCCCCTTGCTGGCAGGGGGGTTGGTGGGTCAGTTTGGGATGAGAGCATGTGGTAAATGCTACAAATTCTCAAACACAACCTCTACAAATCACATGAATTAGAAAGGTTTTTTAAAAATGTCTTTACTAGAAGTACTGAGCCTAGACAGTCTGGCTTCTTCATGGAGCAGCAGCAGGACCCAGGACCACCCATGGTCTTGTGCGCTACATCCACACCCATCAGAGCACAAAGTGCCCCTGAGAGTTAGTATCTCACTGCTCCTCGGCAGGAAGAGGTTGCTCCTCAACTTATCTGACTCATCCAAGCTTCTAGTCCCTCCTTCCCATCTTGCCTCGCTGGCACATACCACATGGGTGCCATTCAATCCCATAATCATAGGACTTTTGTGCCACTGAGGCACCCCGGGGGTTCCCATCCAGCCTCTGGATACTGTTCCAGAAGGGTTCCTACAGGCCATATTTGCCATCCCATGGTGTCCCCATACACATGTCCTACTTGGTAATGCCATCTCCTGTGGAACCAGCCACGTCTCCTTTGGGTAGCTGAACCCCACCTGTGCCCTGTTTTTGGAGGCAGCTGGAAACAGGGTAGGATTGCCAGGGATGTCCTGATGCTGTGGCCAGTCTGAAGGCAAAGAGCACCTTGGTGTGAGTATCAGCAGGCAGGGCTCACCAGCAGCTCTCTCAGACTCAGCTACATGGACATAGGAACATACCACTGCTGCCTGTAAATCACCCTGCAGATATCCACCAGTGCTCAAGGATGCATAGAGCTTCCCAGATCCTGACACAGGAATCACCATTTGAATGAGCCCTTTTTCCTGGGGAAACACACCTGCACTGTGGAGGTACAGTCCATTCTTACATTTTGCCATTTCTCTAAAGGAAACCATATGTATTTATCCTGGAGAATGCCTGGTAGCCTGTGTAATATTTTTGGAAATAATTTCTTTCAATTTTAATCACTGTTGATGTATAAAAATAAATAACAGAATCTGTGACCAGATGGTGTTGGGTGGCATGGGGCTCTCTTCACCAACACACAACTTGCTCACCAGCCTTTCAGGCCTGCTTCAGTCTCCAGTCCTTGCAAGAGCTGCCTGCAAGCTCCTCTCACCCTGAACAAAATTCATCTTTGGGAAGGAGAGAAACTCTCCATTTGAGGCAGAGAAACATTTTCAGCAAAACCCAGGGGCCAAGCATAAAAGCAAGAGAAACCCCTTTGTCTCTGCCCAGAAGCTAATGGAGTCACTCTTCATTGTAGCTCTGCAGGAGGAGATGCAGACGTGGGATCTGCAGCTCCTTATTGCCCTGACTTCGATTGAGAAATCTCTGAGCTTTCAACTCCTTGTGGGAATTTTTTTCTGCAGTCCCAATCATTGCCGATTTGGGCTGATCCGAAGAACAGGGAATGAAATCCATTGCTTTTCATCATTCAGAAACCACTCACAAGGTTTTGACACAAGGCCAGTTTGGCTCAATGCTGGGCCCACGGCCAGCTTGAAAATATTCCTGAACCTTTCAACAATCCCTGGCCAGTTTTCAAACTTAGAACAAAAGCCAAGATCAGGGAAAGTTTGCAAATTTTTAGGTTGTGTAGGAAAACTTCTGTACAACTTGTGATAAATTCCCACCATTTATTTTCAGTTATTTTCATGCTGGGAGAATCTCTCAATCACCAAACGCTGGTCTCGCCTCAAAGAGCATAACCATGTTTTGCACAAAAACTACTGGTCTAAGATGTGTGGAGGAAGATATGGGATACGTCTGAAAACTACCTGAAAAACATACTGTCCAGTTCGCTCTTGTTTGGATGCATTATTCTTTATCTGAAGTGTCCCCGGGTGCCCCATTGTATAGGGAGTGTTGTAAGTTTATGGCAGTTTATGACACTGTTTAAGTTGCTGGAGCAAGGTATCTCCAGCTGGGTCCACTCCTACAGCTTAGGAACATGCAGGAATCACCCTCTAAGCAGGAAAATTAAAAGAGCTTTCTGAAATACTTGACAGTTTTAGATATTCAGCAATATTACTTGACAGTTTTAGATATTCAGCAATATGATAGACCTCTTATTCAGCAACTTAAGAATATTTATTCACACAGAGAAAACAGCTAAATTATTTATTTTCCCCAGTGAAGGGGGCAGGAGCTGTAGATGTCTAGGTAATGTGGAACAGAAATACAGGAGCTGCAGCCACAGACAAAAATGTCACTGCACAGGACTGCACTGGCTGGGATGCTGCTCTGTCTGCCACGGGCGGCTAGGCACACACACAGCCACACAACAGTTACTTTATTAAACAAGCAGAACAAAATGGGAAGTGTTTAAAACACATTACTACTCTTATAATATTGCTAATTGGACAGTCTGTCAATCCACAGCTAGTGAACACCAAAAAAGGTCTGTACTGCTCACTTTATCTCCACCTTGCCAGAGTCTGACACATGCAAACAAACATGTCTAGAGCCCCTTTGCAGAGCATTCCAAAAGCCAAAAATTATTTTCTTTCCCTCTCTTTTTCCTTTTCTGTCCTTTCTTTTTTTTTTCCTTTCTTTCTTACTTGCTTGTTTCTTTCTTTCTGTATGCCGTAAGTCTGAATCTACATCTAAGCCTGAAGAAGCCTTCATTAAAAGTAAGCAGTATCACAGTCATCAACTTAATGGGGATTTACACTGTTTAAGAGACAACCCCTCTTTGTTCTGTGTGCTAAGATTCAGCATGGCCATATTTTTCTCCATAAGTGAACAACAAAAGCTCACAAGATCCTTTCCCCCTTCTTCATGCCATTATACTCTTGAGGCAACCCTACTTGTAGACCCCAATCCTGCCCTTCTTCATACACATGCCCCCCCACACCTAGAACAGCCTTACATTAAACCATCTGCCTCTCTCTCCAGTAAAAAGTCACGTTTCACAACCTACCATTCAGATCAGTGAATGAGCAGCACATCAGCAGATTCGCTGCCTGCCCAAAGCTACAAAACAGCAAAACATTTCCCCCATCAGCTGACAAGTGTTAGATCCCATTTTACTACTGAACTCAGTAGCACCAAGCAGACAGAAAAAACCACCAGGGAAACATCCATGTTGAGAGCACACAGATGCACAGATGCATACTCAGACTCTGAAAAAACCATACAGATGGGTATGGGTGGAATAATACGTGTAGTCACACAGCCTGTGTTGTTTCTGGCCAGCTACTCTTTGTGCTGATTGACTGGAGGGGATTAGAAAGGACTCAGCCCAAAAACGCAGTTTCTAATGCAGTTATTGCATAATAGAGACCAATTCCCATCCCAAGCCCTGACCCTCAATTTACTCAAGACAAGTTTAATGTTGTCAGGCTGTATGAGAACGTCTACTTCCCAGCAAAGAAGAATCTAGATGTGACCCACCAGCATCCCCAGGGCTTGGTTATTTGGGTTCTCTGATAGGCAACAATAGAAAAGAAAGTGGGCAAGTGTCACCAAGAAGGAAATAAAGTCATTTTTCCCCAAACATTTCTACCAGGAGCTACTGGAAGCTGAAGCCTTCTGGTGTTCATTAATAGATACACACCTGCTATTAATACATCCACTAAAGAAATGAACTCTAAACCAAAGGAAGTCAAGTGCATCCCAAAAGTAAACCAAAAATCAATGAACCTGCAGACCCCAGCTAAACTAAATGGACCTTAAGTCAAATACAACTAAAAAGGTAAAAGGAGTAAAACAGAACAACCCAAAAGTCCATGATTAAATGGACACATCTCAAAAGCATGCAGAAAACATACAAACACTTCAGAATTTGCACTCCATTAAAAGCTACATGTTGAAATAACATAAGGGGCCATGCAGAAATTCCAGGTGCACAGGGAATATCTGAAGTAACTCCTCTGAGATCTGTCACTCCACATGTGTACAGGTGTACGACAAATGAGGACAAAGCCCCATCAAGTCAGGTGAAATCACATGCCCTCCAACATTTGACTGAAACCTGGATGTCCTGGGTCTAGCAAACTGCAAAGAGCTTTAGGGAACTTGGCTGAGTCCTGCGTCCCACCTCCCCCACATCAGCAAAATTGATTTGCAAAGGCCACAATTGCTCGTTATTTTCTGTTTTCCTACATGCGCTCACTAGCTCATTAGTAATGTTTCCAAGCAGTCAGGCTGGGAGAAGAACTGGGGAAGGGACAGGGACAAGACAACCAGGAGACGCTGCTGCCAGGGCCCCTTTGTTGAGCATCCCTGGGTACCCCTCTCCTTTTACCTGGGGATGCAGTCGCCATGGCAACGGGCGGGTGTTCCCTGGCGGAGCCGAAAACCAGTTGTTCCCGCTGCTGAGCCCCATCTCCATCCCGCAGCGGAACCCCAGCTGCATACTGGTCCTCCCTGTCCGCAGCCCAGTGTACCCCAGTGCCCGCCAGCAGCAGGTCCTGGGGGTCCGGCGGGGCTGACATGCTGCCTGCAAGGCGGCCGCTGGTC